CAAGACAGAACACATACGACGAAGAACATAACAATGCAGACACAACACCAACAGCACCACAGTTACCACCCCTACCACATAACCATCCATTATCCCTAGTCCCACGTAATTTTCGAAATTTAGCCATAACACATAATAATTTTAGACCAACCATATCACAAAGTCCCATCCAACATATAATGCCACACCACTCACAAGATGAAAATACTTATGAACAAATTATAGAACAACCCCATACCACCGCTTTTCAGTCTCAAAATAATAATTTTTTTAGCCCACGATGAGCCGACAACTTGGATCCCTACACCGATCAAATTCCCACCCAACCAACCTCACCACTCCAATCCCAATAATACCACTTTTTGCTTTTCCGCCACCCGATTTCCCATCCAGTAATGTAACATCCGGCATGAATTCCGATACTAACTCACACATCTCAGTTTTATACTCCATCTCACAACTCAATAACCCGAATATTGAAACCCCCGATGAATTTGCCGACTCCGAACCATCTCCATCAAATAATTTTCACACCAATCCCTTAAATTTTTCCCAACCCCCTTTTCAACCCATACTACCAAATAACCCTGACCCAACCAACTCTACACCCTCTTATGCTTCCCAAGTCACTCCAACCTACTCCTCACTTCACTCAAACCAATCATCTCATTCTTCAGACACCCCCCGAATCTCCCCAGAACTAGATAATTTCATTACCTTACAACAACAATCCTATCACCTTGACACCCCAACCATAAACCAAATCTCATCCACAATAGATTCATCCAACCCTCCTACCCCTACACCCTCTTCAATTTATACTGATTCATTAGCACCATCATCCACAACTACTGTATCTTCACTCAGCACTAATAGAGCTTACCGCACTTTTAAAAGGAAGTTCCCCAACCATCCTTTCCCAGCGAAACCAGGAACAGCCCGTGAATACATCAACCATCCACAACACACTAACACAAAAGAATTTTTAGCTATCACCTTACCCTCATTTCCACAATACACCTTAAACACACCTCATGACACTAACGAGACACGTAACTTTGTAGACGAATACGTTTTAATGCCTACCCTTCCTTGGACCTCATATTATCATTTTACAAATCCCCTTTGCTTACCTTTATCTAACACTCATATCGATATAGAACGAAATATGGACATGCTATATCGACTCACTACACCACTAACACCTAGACAATTTACTTACATTGGATACAAAAAATCACTAAAAACACACACTGCACCCCGAGCTAATGAATATACACTAGAATATTACGACCATAACATCATCAGAACTAACCAAGATCAATTCTTAGACGACGATCGCTTCGCTAACCCACAAATCACCGAGAAATTTTTCATTAAAACACCATATGTATTTACACTAAATATCTTCGATCGCAAGTTTGACCACATTATCTCAGAAGCACTAACAGACACGCAAGCCTACGAAAGTTTTAAAGAACGCTTCCAAATATTTTCACTAACCTTTCATTTCCTTGCACCACATGAAAGAGATTTGCACTGCTCACACGATATTATGTTGCGCACTAAACAAACACACACATATACTTATTATCGTTTCATCCAAAATCACTTTGACCTACACACTCCCTCCAGACAACCACACGATCGTTTTCAATTCATCAATTCCAAATACACCTCACCATTCTTTCTTAACTTCACATATTGCATTAAAGATACTAACCTTCATGGTATTCTTCGAAATTATGATCCCATAACCCAAATGTATATCTTTTGTCCCATCACCAAGACCTTCAACGCAGAAGAATCCCGACCCTTCCTCATCCCACACGAGTTTGTACAACCTATAGAAATCCCCATTTTAGAATCCATCCATAACACTAAATTCAACCACAAATTATATAATCTAATCCAAAACACACCTTATGAATTTGCAGTTGGCACTGAAGAACTAACCACAATTAAGGCACTTCAATTGCTTTGGCCACTGCTTCAAACTAAAAATATCATCCGCATATTAGCCAAACTACTAACAACTTCAGATCTCATTCACGACATTTTCCCCCACGGTTTCTTCCCCGACGACTAACAGGTAAGTATGAATTATACATAATACTAATTAATTCAAACATTAGAAACTCACCATTCTTTATCCATGTTTTCTTTAGAATTTTAGCCTTCATCCAACGATCATCTGAAAAATTCACAAAAGAAAAATAAAAAATAGCAAACTTCTTCAAAACTGTTTAAAACCCTATTAACTTTTTGCACCAACAATTAAATAAATATAATACCAATGCAGTAAATTAATTTATAAATTTTTCCCCCACCAGCAGTAAATCTAATAATGATGAAAATTTGTAACTTAATTTCCCCCAACAACTAGCAGTAAAATTAAAATTCTATGTAGTAAATTCATAAGAAGCAAAAGCAGTACTAACCTTTTGATATTTTCATTCACTCGCATAAGAATTCTATCCACACTCGCACAGCTCGCCCACGAAGAATTGTTTAAAATAATGAATTTCAGTTTCAAGCTTTCACACTCGATAACTCTAACACAAGATAACACGTTTCAAACTTTCCTTTAACCCGGTTGGAAAGGAATTATATACTAAACAATACTAACCAATGCAGCTTACTAAACACCACAACACATAGCATAACAGCATGACTAAGAAAAGGAAACCAACGGTACCCAAACCGGATTAACCCAGTTTAAAACTGGATAAATTATTCTTTTGAAGACTATTATAAAGTCTAAGAAAGAAATAATAAAACACAAAAAAGTCGAAAGACAAACCCATACCACAAACAATTTGATTTTTGAAAAAAGGACACAACCAACAAAACATAAGAAAAACCACGACAAACCCAACATAAAACGTTGTCACATAACAGGACTTCTCACAAAAACCGCATGCAATCATACTCCCACTCCTGGCCTAACCCACCAGGAAGGACGTCCTGAGCATGCTCTATAGCCGGCCTAACCCACCGTGCTACATCCACGCTTTGTGACCACACTCCTATTTTTAATAAGAGCTACTCAAGGGCGAGTAACTCTTCAAAATAACTGAACTAAAACAAAAAGCTTTTGTGAAAACAACTAACTAAAATCATAATTAAAAAATATTAAACTAATAAAAGTTTTATAAAATGTAAATTACATTATGCAATACATAGATCAGAATACAACACCAAGGACGAACATCCAAAGACAAAACGACCCTACTACACTCGAGAAAGAATGGCCAACTACAATCAATATGCCGCCCACAATCACAACTCAAAGGATTTAGAGTACGACTTGACTTCGCAGAAAAGGACTTCATTGAACTAGACCAATGACCACCTCGATGTTCAAGTATACGCACAGATCCGAGTAACCAGGCATCCCCACCACGCACAATCTCCACGCCATTCCCAGACAAGGTCAAACACAAAGAAGTTCTCACCAATGAAACAGAAAAACCTGACATAGCCAACCATTCTGAAATCAGATTTGAGTTTGTTGCGAAAACCCAGTCGTTGTCTTGAGAAGACACAATGATTGAATCTGGGACTTCTCTAATAAGAAAACCCAGAAGAAATAAGATGTTCGCCAAATACCAACGTCCATCATCCATCTTTCGAATTGCAGAAAAACTATTCTAAAAAACTCTGTAAAACCCGGATGGGTGGAACCTGATCTAAACTACATTTTATGATTGGATAAATTAGATATTTTACCAATGTAAAGTATTTAATATTAACCAATCATGATCCATCTAACTAACAATCCACTTATTTGTAAGTGCTGAAATTACTTGTAATTTCAGCACCAGAGAGATTTGAATTTAACTTAGAAATTAGTTGAACTCTCCCGAGTACTTCAGCAGCCGCAATAAACCAGTATACCCTAGATCTATTGAGCCTAGCAGAGACTAGTTAAACAACCTGAGACTAGATAGTATAAGAGTAAGATTAGGATCGGTATTAGACTAAGAAGTTGCACGAATCTATCCGGCCGAAAATAAGATAGCGTGACGAGCAGACGGTGTACCCTATCCGAAATTACTCTATGAGTTATACACTTCGGTCATAACTCAACACGTTGGTGCGTCTGAAATGGCCACTTTTACAATTTATTTGCTGCCAAACATTATTTCGTGTGTTTGTTATGAAGCAACCGAATTACGTTATCAATGGAATACGATTTATAATAAAAAACTTGTTTTTTGATCAAGATTTTTGCCTTAAACAATATTTTTGTATTGTTGCTTAATCTAGGTTTTTGCCTAATTCAGCCTCCACCAATGCCACGGGATAAAGTTCGATTATCTACAGTTTTTCAATGACTTGTTAGTAGTCGTTATAATCTGTTTGTTTATTTGGTCGCATAGTCAAGAAAATTTGTTCAAAATGGCCCGCAAATAACTGTTTATTGATGAGAAAAAAAAACTCGTACTGACAGAACTATATTTAAAAAAGTAATCTGACTATTGAGAATAAACTTTGCATGCAAATTTTAGTTTCTAGGTGACCTTGAGACTTAAATCCTGACGAAAACATTAGTTTTCACATGTAAGAGATGATCAATTTCTCTTTTTAAATAATGCTGTCTGTCCGAACTCTTGGCACCATTCTATACTTAATACAGACAGGAGCGGATCTAGGAATTTCATCGACTTTTATAATTCCGAGCTATCAAAAATCACTTTAAAGACCCTTTTTGAAAAAGTGTTCTTCGCCGCAAGTGCAATTTTGAAAAAACAGGCCGAAAAAGGCGTTTTGGGGCACTTTTTGGAAAGTTTTGACCAAAAAATAGCGTGTTCTGACACGTGCTTCCCCTTTCAAGTTTAGTATAAATATTAGAAAAAGTTTAGGGACCATCAGCCAAAACTGGAGATCTTAAAATAGTACAAAGGGGGGACGGCAGGGTTCGAATCCTCGAGGAAGAAGGCGTCCTCCAATCCCCCCCACCTAAATCCGCTGTTGAATATGAATAGAGACACTGAATTCAGATCGTAGCATCAATGCAGGCTATTTTGTTGAAAATCAATCATTAAGGTCATACTCATGTAATTTTGAATTTAAAGGTCGAATAACATAAAAAATTTACATCAATAACTTAGTATGCATTTCAGTTTCAATTAATAATGCAACCGGATGAAACTAGTATTCATACCCGACCAAATCCATTATCTTCTGGCAGAGCGGATTATTTTCAGTCTCATTTCTGAGCTCAGCACTCAGTTGAACTCTCCATTTGGACGAAACTGTCGAAATGTTCCGACTGGTTGTAAAAAAAGAGGGCAGTTTTTCGTTTCGGGTGCTGGTTGAAGCCGTCGTGATGTTGACTATAAAGTTCTTCAGTTCTTCACTAATTGAAATTTTCAAGAAGTTAGATACCAAATTTTCCGTGTAAGAAATGGAATCGACTGCTAATTTCTCATAGATAAATTCGAAATAACTAATTGCAAATTTTTTGTCTTCATTGGTAAGTTTTCTGGCAATTTCCAAATTGTTTGCACAGTTTTTGCAAACTTTGGTTGAATTTTGATGAAAGCCTAATTTCTTCTGAGAATTTCGACGTGCTCGCGGATCTCTTAATAAATGAATAATCTTCATATTTTTGAAGTTGCGTATTACTTTCCATGTTCGTTCCAAATTTGAAACTCGAATCGTTTTTAAAACTAAAAACTCCGATTTTTTGCATTTCTGTTCTTCGTTTAGAACTATCGTGTCGTTTCGATTGAATTGATCAATCCACGGATTAGAAATACCTGAATGACTAAGCATATCCTCCGTTTGAAACATCGAAAACTTTGCTGTTAAGTTCTGGGTGAAAGTTACGTTGAAAATTGTTTGGTTCAAATTACAATTGAATAACTTAGCAGTCCAATCGTCCATAATTTTGTTGAAGAGTTCATCTGAAGAAGAAATTTGGCTTGCGTTGAGATATTGCTGGACTAACCGGAACGGCTCATAAAAATAGTAAGAGTTTTCTATTTTGCTCAAAACGTCACCAAGCAATGTGGAACCTGTAGCAGGGGGTTTCAATGTTCAGCTTGTTTAAACTTGCTTTCTTTTAAAAAGTAGCCGTTTAAAAGTTTTTTTCAAAGAAAAACAATCGGGTATCATATGAGGGCATTTTCGAAAAACAAGAAAAGGTTAGGTAAATTTTTGATTTCAGATGTAATTTAAAATTAAGAGACCGAGCTCATCTAGTGACCTCCAAAATGAGCTCTATTTTTTTCTACATCATAATAACATTATAAAATTTAGCCTCATAATCCGAAAAAAAATTGTACTCTAACCCAGTATCAAGTCTAAGAGAACGTATTTACACCAAATGGTCCATTTTCAAACGTCTCCGAGAGGGAAAACTTACAATAATATAATGCTGAAAATATAGAAAAAAGTGTAGACCAAAAATACTATCACATCAAGCCAAAAAATAATGATAAGCAGTAAAATTTTTGTATTTGAAAACGTAGGAAACCGTTGATTTTTTCGTGAAAACGTAGGAAAACGTTAATTTTTTCAAAGAATTTTCAATTTAAACAAGACTGCTCGTATCAGGGCGGAACCTTGAATGTTCCGACTGCCTTTTAAGGCTTTATGGAGCAGTAATAATATTAAAAAATTAAATGTAAAAAAACAAAAAGAATATTTTTTAATTTGAACATTTTTATGAAAACCTTCGCCCCACACGCCATATAAAGTAAAGACAAATTTAGCCCCTTGCAACAAATCAATTATGGCAAATGAGCTTCTTTCAACCAATTTGTAACAATTTTAAGACGGATTAACTCTCCGCTTACGCGTTAATAGCGCGAAATATATCGCGCGTTAATTGTCTCAAATTGGTCAAAATGGCAATCTTTAAACCCCCATAACTTCACGAAAAACGGTCACAAGTAAAATGTTTTTTCAAATTTGAATTCAGGACAACAATACTTTTTGAATGATAAAAAAAATTCCGCCAAAAATAGCTAGTTAAAAAGTCGAAATTTGTCTGAAGAAAAAAAGAACCCACCCGAGCACAAATATTCCGATATTTTCGTATCGAAATTCGGAAAAAAAATGCTGAAAAAGTTGAAAAAAGATAGATAAAAAATACTATCAAACAAAAAACAGATTTTTAGTACACTGGTGATAAACAGTTGAAACTTTGTAGTTGAAAACCTAGGAAACCCGTTGATTTTTTCTTGAAAATGTAGGAAACCGTTGATTTTTCTAAACATTTTCAACTTAAACAAGACTGCTCGGATCAGGGCAAAGCCCTGAATGTTCCGACTGCCTTTTAAAGTTTATGGAGCAGTAATAACTTTAAAAAATTAGTTGAAATAAAATAAAATGAAAAAAATTTTGTCTAAAATTTGAAATTTTTTATGAAAATCATCCCACCACCCGCCATATAAAGTACAAAAGGATAGATTTCGCTCCTTGAAAAAAATCAATTATGGCAAATAAGCTTCTTTCAACCAATTTAGAACGATTTCTAAGACGGATTAACTCTCCGCTTACGCGTTCATAGCGCGAAATATATCGCGCGTTAATTGTCTCAAATTGGTCAAAATGGCCAAAATGGCAATCTTTAAACCCTCATAACTTTACGAAAAATGATCACAGGTAAAATATATTTTCAAATTTAAGCGTCAAAAATGGCTAGTTTTAAACAAAGGCTAGTTAAAAAATTCCGTCAAAAATGGCTAGTTAAAAAGTCGAAATTTGTCTGAAGAAAAAAAAACCCACCCCGAGCACAAATATTACGTTACTTTCGTATCGAAAGTCGGAACAATAATGCTGAATTAGCAGAAAAAAGATAGACCAAAAACACTATCAAACAAAAAAAATAGTTTTCTAGTACACTGTTGATAAACAGTAAGAATTTTGAATTTGAGAACATAGGAAACCGTTTTTATTTCTCAGATTTTTCATTTGTTTAGTGCTGATTATGTAGAAAAACTATAGACCAAAAATACAATCAAACCAAGAAAAAAAAGATTTGTGGTAGACTGTTGATAAACAGTAAATTTTTTGTTGTTGAAAACAAAAGAAATTTTTTTTTCTAAATGTTCAAAAGCATTTTTGTTGTTTAAAAATCTAAGTCGCCATGTTTATATTTGAAGTTGACTTAATTAAGTATTTGGAATCCCCCGTTTGACCTGATCGCATGTAAGTCAGAAGCAGTATCTGCATCTGATTCTTGTCATTTGCATGAGGCAATTTATGTTGGTAAGTATAGGAAAAACGGTAAAACTTGAATTGCTCCAGTGTGTTTGTACCACTGCTTTCACAGTACAAGTAAGTAAAGGTTACCAAAGAAAAACAAATAAAAAAGAGAATCGACAATTGTTTCGATGTTTGAGGATATAATGACATTGTAAACTATACGAACAGATAATAAATATTTGGTTGAAATTTACAATTAATTATAAGTTATGAACCAGCGAGTTGATAAATTAATGACGCATGTCCGTCCTATTCATCTGCAAGAAAATAAACTATACGAACAGATAATAAATATTTGGTTGAAATTTACAATTAATTATAAGTTATGAACCAGCGAGTTGATAAATTAATGACGCATATCCGTTCTATTCATCTGCAAGAAAATTTCAGGAGCAGAAAAATTGTGATGTAAACATTTTCAGAACAGCTTAATTTAATTTTTTCTTCTAGATTTGTAAAATTTTGTCTGTTGTAAATTTTTTTGCCCTTTTTGATAAAAATTTTTTCAGGAATTACTTATTGTAATAATATCCGTCAAAGCATAGAACTGCGGTTTATATTTGTACAGTATTTGTTTTTATTACTAACAGAGAACTCAAACATTGAAAAAATGGTGGTAACTTTAATTTCAGTCACATAACTCTAAGAATCTATCACATATGTTTAAAGGTCTAAAGCTCTGTTCATAGATGCGAACCTTTGTTTTCTGTCAATTTATGTATGAAAGAAAACATCAAAAAAATGGAAAATCTTTATCGTTGCACCCCTTATTAAGAGCTAAACCAATGGTTATTACTCTGTGATTAGTGTTTTTATGAAAGAAAAAAATACGACGCCATTTTTTTATAGTATTTCTAGCGTAAATTTTTTTTTTACGATTTCAAAATGACAAAGAAAATTATCTACTTTGGAGCACCAAGTCAGTTTTGTACTCAAATGAACTTTTCAAAGTTCTGTTTGTAAGATAAAATTCAGTTTTGAAAACACAATGCTTTCTAATGTATTAGAAAACTTCAAAGCTCAAGGTTTTTTTGTATAGCTTCTCTGAAAACGAACAAAAATTTAATGAAAGTATATTTTTAGGTCATGATTTTTTTATCAAAAACTTGGAGAAAAAAATTTACCATGAAAAGTTTCAGTCAAAAACTCGATGTGAAATGTTTTCAAAACGTAGCTGAAAAACTTTTTTTGTATACAAAGAATAGGAGGTCATGCTATGATGCTATGATGAACGATTTTAAATATACTCGGATCTCAAGTGCCATTGAAATCAAGATTTGTTCCTTTCTTGGGAGTGAAAGAACTTAAGTAATACAAACCAAAGAAAGTGAAACAAAACACTCAATTTGGTTATATGAAAAGCGCCAGTTACACAGTTTCTTCATATGACAAAGTTATTGATAGGCATTTTTTTCAGTTTTCTCTATTCAATATGTTGCAATAAAAAAGTTACGGAAAACTTTTTCTTCAGTTCGTATCAAATGATTTTTTTTCTAGGTCAACTGGGGATTCGTCTAACCTTATCAACTATGACAAAAAACATTTCGTGAAGGAATTGTATCTCTAACACTATGTTTCAAAATTGTACAACTCCAATGTTCTAAGTAGTCTTGTATTTTTTTTGTTACTGTGAAAATTGTGTATTCATCGAAAATATCTAATATTGCATTTAAGATGTCACATCCCCCCTCAGGGACGCCCCCCCTCAGGGATTCGACCCCCTCACTAACCAAAGGGTCCCCCTTTGGTATTATTTTATGCATCCATTTTTGGCCAACAACCGCTTCCCAAAATTTTTCTAAACGCGCCCTGTGAGCCAAAAAACACTAATTTTGAAGAAGCGCGATTAATTGTTCAAAATTTCAATTTTTTTTATAAAAAGTTCCTTATGTCACAATATGGTTTATGCAGTGTTCTGGGAGCGCTCGGAAAATCAATTTGGTCTACCTATAAAAAATGTCGACAAAAATTTTTGAAAATTTTATGGAAACCCGCACTAGAGAAATTCCTAAATTCGCCCCTGTAGCACATAAAGATAAGTTTTTGTATTTAAACGTAGCAGTTGAAGTGATAATACTATTTAGAGTTTAATTGAGATGTTTTTAAAATGAGAAACTCTGAATTTTGAAAAGCGAAAGTTCCACCTTGTTGATTTATACAAAAGTGATATACAATAAGAGCTTTTTGTGCTTACGGTACTAAGACAACCCATAAATCTTTATGCACAACAGAAATGTTGTCCTCTATGAAGACAAAAATAAACGTTTGCTTTCGAAACTTGTTTTGCATTGGTTTGAACAAAGCTTATGATAATATTCCATGAAAACCATGGTTTGAAGTCTATGCGAAAATGCTTGTCATACAATATTCATAGATTTAAAAATGATTTATTCATGAGACGTTTAAAAGAACATTTTTGTCAGTTTGACGGTTGTAAAATTTTTCCGATTTTTTAGTGGGATGAGAAAAATGTCTTTCATTTTTTAGATGCGCATTTTTCAGTATGACCAATTGTCATTAGACTTTGTAGCCTGTTTTTTTAAATCTTAGGTGTAATATTAAAAGGATTATTTTCTGATGCAGATTTACAATTTGTTTTTTTTCTGTTGTGAGTTTCCAATCAGGATTAATAAAAATTGGGTCCTGATTAAATAGTATTTTTTGATATTAATTGAGACGTAAAAAATTGAGACTGCAATAAAACTAAGTGGAATATAATTACATGAAATATTGTGTTCTAGTCTTTGCCAATAAATTTTGTTGATTACAGATTTTTAGCGGTTCTTTTTTGATCGTGAATTGTATCAAATTTCATCCCTCTTTTTTCTTGTGATCTGTTCAGATATCATTCCCAATTCTGTTGTTATTTAGTTTAGCTTGCCATAATCTTCTGTCAATTCTAGTACCACCCCAAAATGATTAAAAAGTGTTGTAATAACTTTAACCTATAAAAAATGTACGATATATTTGTTTGTCAATTGAGAGCACTTTGTCATCAACGCTATGATATTGTTTTTGATCAAAAAGAGCGTATCATAAACTTCGAATTCACAAAAGGCCCGATTAGCTTTCTTTTTTCAAAAAAATTACAGCAAATTTGAGTTTAAAAAGTTTTGTTTGCCCTTTTTAATTCGCAAAATCAGTTCTATGATCAAAAAAATTTTTAAACGAAAAGTGCATGCAATTTTTATTTTGTCAGTTTGTGTAGTCCGGAATCATAGATCACAGATAACCTATTAACGTCAAGAAAAAAACAAAAATTTCAAAACTGAATTGTTTGGCAAAGAACCTTTCTAGCCATTTAGAAAAAATTACGTTTTTTAATACAAATCTGTGTGAAAATAAAAAAATCAAAGAATCGTGTTAGTTTGAAGAACCGATTCATGTTTGAAGTTTGTACCATTTTTGTTTTGTGCTTTTTTTATTAGGGTTATTTTGAATGTTCTTTTTTTTCCTAGACACAAATTTATCTTATTCTTCGAATATAAGTAATTATTTTCCGTGGCCCAAAAATTGCTTCTCATGCAATTCTATGGTATGGAAACTTAGAATAAGCTTCATAAAAATTCAACAAAAATATATTTTTTCAACTTTGGCCTTCTACTAACAAATTTTTGTTACTGAAAATATAAAAATTTTGCAAATTTTAAAAAGTACATAAACATTTTTCAAACCCAGCAAATGAAAAGAGTGAAATTTTTCTGATACGGTTGGTCATAGTAATTGTTTCATTTTTTTTTTGTAAGCAGAAATCTTCTTTTTGCCTTCTTGATTTTCTGTTCCATAATCGCAGGCCGGAAGTTTCGACAACATCATTTTGAGAAAAATGTTGTAGTTTCTGTTATACTGATTTTAATACAGACTTAAGTTTCCACAGCTATAAGTAAAATGCACGGATTTTTGTTTTAGGATTCGTTGAATCAGTTTTGAGGTGCATTTTCTGTTTGAGTTTAAAATACATGACGACTAACGACAAATGAAAAAACTAAAATTTTCATCTGATACAGTTGATCATAGTGGTTGTTTTGTTTTTGTAAGCCGAAATCTTCTTCTTGTCCTTTTGATTTTTTGTTCCATAATCGCAGGCCAGAACTTTCGACAATATCTTTTTGAGAAAAATGTTATAGTTTCTGTGATACTGACTTTAATACAGACATAATTTTCCACAGCTATAAGTAAAATGCACGGTTTTTAGTTTTCGGATTCGTTGAACCAGTTTTGAGGTGCATTTTTTGTTTGAGTTTAAAATACATGACGACTAGTGACAAATGAAAAAAAATTAAATTTTTGTCTGATACGGTTGGTCATAGTGATTGTTTCATTTTTTGTAAGTCGAAATCTTCTTCTTGCTCCTTTGATTTTTTTGTTCCATAATCGCAGGCCGGAACTTTCGACAATATCATTTTGAGAAAAACGTTGTAGTTTCTGTGATACTGATTTTAATACAGACTTAATTTTCCCCAATTATAAGTAAAATGCACGGATTTTAGTTTTCGGTTTCGTTGAACCAGTTTTGAAGTGCATTTTCTGTTTGAGTTTAAAATACATGATGACTAGTCGTAATAAAAACACTCTTAAGCATTGGCTACAGCTGTTTGTTTATATGCTGGCTTTTGTCAAATTTTTGGTTCAAAATATCCCAGAATAACACCAGAGAGGGCCAGAATTTAATTTTTTTTCTCCATTTGCTATCGAAGTATCGCTTAGTCCAATAAGCATTTAATTAAGCATCATTTTTTATTACCCCGATTGGTTTGCAATTTTTTTGAAAGATTAATCTCACGGTCAAAAATTATTATTATACAGTTAGGTGACATGAAAGTAGCAACCTTTGATTATCAAAAAAAGAAATGAACGATTGTTTCTTCATTTTTTTTCCGTTTTCCCTCTATAATTATTATTGAAACTCAACTAATATTTCATTTCTAACAATCCTTGATTTAGTCCAAAAACCAATGATGAGTATTTTAATCAAGTACTACGAGCATTTAAAAATTTGTACTTTGTATTCTAGTATTTTGGAATCGACTTTAATTAAAATCTTGTCTGAGAAATTGCATCATTTTTTGATACACCTTGTATAGTGCTGATTTAAATAACCGGACAAAACTAATAAATTTTGGAAACTCAAACACGTTTTTCTAGAATTGGGTTAAAATTAAACAGATAGTGAACAATAAAAGTTGCTCAGAATTTCACCAGAATTAAAATGGTGCAATTTTTCTTCAAAATTCACAGCTAAAATTTTACCCCAAAAATAGGTCATTTCGGCTTTTTTCAGTTAATCAAAAAATACGCTGGAACTACTTTGTTAATTGATGAGAAATATATATCACAAGAAGCCTCATACACAGCCCAACAAAATTCTAGAAGGTTTAAATCTCCAAAAACCTGTATAAGAGAAAATATTTTTGCGTGATTGTGAAATAACGTGATTTTTACTATATAAAGCCCAAAATCTTAGCTTAAAAATAAAACTGAACAATTTCCTCAAAATTTTTCGAGATTTAACATTTCTGGAACTTTGTGGAAGAGGCTCCTTGTGATATATATTTCTCATAAATTAACAAAGCAGTTTCAGCGTAATATTTGATTAATTGAAAAAAGCCAAAATGACCTATTTTTGGGTAAATATTTGGTTGAGAATTTTGGAGAAAAAATTGCACCATAATAATTCTGATAAAAATCTAAGCATTTTTTTTTCAATTCGTTTTTTGTCTAATCTTAACCCAAATTGAGAAAAACGCCTTCGAAAATTCGAATTTTGTTTATTTTGTCCGTTACTTTAAATCAGCCCTGTATTTTACTTGACCTTTTAAGCTGCGCAAAAACTCACATAAACCTTCCAGCATTATATCAGTGATGTTTGCCAATCTTCTCCAAAATTGAGCATGAAATTTTACCAAAACAATGGAGTTTTTTGTCTTCATATTTAGCCGTTTTTTTCTTAAGCCATCAACAGTTTGCCCTTTATATTCCAAAAAACGCGTTTATTTTTCCGGACTGGTAAAATTAATTTTTCTTTGAATGATTACTCAGCCCAAGGTTAGTGCCGTTGAACGTCCAGCTATCGCGATAATGATATTGAATCCCAACTTCCGAACCAATGCTCAGGAAACTGGTCTCATTTATTTGGTTCAACGTCAAACTGCGGACTGCAAATTGTAATCAATCATGATCACTTTTAAAGGAAAACGCCGCTTTCGCTAATTTCAACTTCACATTTCTTTGTGTTCAGACAATCTGAGTACCCAGCCCTGATCTAGTATCTCTTTCTATCGGTCTGTTCATAATAAAATTACTTGGTA